TTTAAGTGAGTATTGGAATTGTATTTTTTTGAAAGATGTTGATGTGTGTCGATCTTTTGGGGGCCTTTTGATATTTTTCACTGAGCACATAGAACTTATTTCGTGACAGAATTTTTCTGGTGGTTTCTGATAAGATTTAGCAAGTCTTTCAGGAGTCACCGATTTTCGAGTAAGGAGTAAGGATTTAGTTGTTTCTATTGTATATGTTGGTATCTGATGAATCTTAGTTTTCATAATGGGAACAAATCTGTTATTTTTAAGACAAAACTGAAAATGCGACCTCATTTTGGATTCGTCAAACAAAGACTTTTCGTGTGATATAGGTATCTTTAACTAGCATAATAGTAATAATAATAATAGTAATAATAATAGTATTAGTAATAGTTATAGTAGTAGTAATAATAGTAGTATTAGTAATAATAATGATAGTATTAGATACAGGTATCTTTAAATTATCATAATAATAATGATAATCGTAATAATAATAATGGTAGTAGCAGTAATAATAATGGTAATAATAGTAATAATAACAGAAGTAATAATAATAGTAATAATATTGTAATATTATTAGAAATAGTAATAATAATAGCAGTAATAATAATAATAGTAGTAATAATAATAGTAGTAGTAAGATTAGTAGTAGTACTAGTAGCAATAAAAATAAAAATAGTATTAGATACAGATATGTTTAAGCTATTATAATGGTAATAATAATAATCTTATTAATAGTATTAATAATAATAATAACAATAATAATAGTAATAATAATAATAGTAGTAGCAGTAATAATAATAATAGTACTAATAATAGTAGTAATATTATTAATAGTAATAATAATAGTAATAATTATAATATTAGTAATAGTAATAAAAATAGTAGTAGTGAAGTGTCGTAATATTGGAAGATAAAACGTTTAGATAGTGCAAATATATTTTCCCGTACATGACAAACATACATTGATTTGAAAATAATAACTGTTAATTTTACTAATGAAAATCAGAAATTAATAAAAGATTTTAACAAAAGCCAAAAAAATAATAATGTTTATATCATGAACCAGATTTTAAATGTTTTATGACATTTTCCTTTAAATAGATAAAAGTGAATGAGGTGAATTATTAGCTGATTTTAGATTTGAAAATATCATTCTATAAAGTTTTATGTACCTAATATACACAATTGAGGTAAGTACATAGACAAAGAACAGGATTAAGTTGAAAAATAAACATTTATGTAAAATGAAGGTTTTCCTCCTCAGCCAATTGATATATTGATCTACCTAGATATTTAACATGTCAAAACCTTTACAAAATTTCTAAACTTCTGATCAATTATTTTGAAATTAATAAACACGAATTAATTGGACTTTTTTTCCAGATAAACGTATTAACATTTTTATTATCACAAATCAGTTAGTCTATAATTTAGTAATTTTCTTTCCACGTCCATTACGTCCTGTCGCTACCCTAGATAAATAATGAACCTTTCCGTTAAACCTGTGCAGAAAACGAAAGAAAATATATATATATATATATATATATATATATATATATATATATATATATATATATATATTTGAAAGCATGCGTAATAATAACAAAGAAAGAAACGAAGAAAGACGAGGTGAAAGGGCTCTCATGCTTTTAAAATCTGCTTCGGTAAAATTGAAAACCCAATTAATACTTAATATTTTAATTGGTGCACTCTTAATTCCTTAAATATTAATCCTAATTTATAATTAAGTTTGTTATTGCAATACTTTGTAAATTTATTAATCTCAAATAACTTATCGATGCAATAGGGCAATTAACACGGGAAATTTATAGTCAGTGACATTCAGTCATTAACTTACTAATTATGATAAATCAAAATTTTAAACAGGAAAATTTCTCATGGGTCCTGCAACATAAGAATATTTTCTATTTTTGATATTGAAAATTATGAGGAAATGTAACTTTTTTTTTATTATTGACATCAATGATCATATGTTGAGCAAGAGATCAATATATAAAATAATCTGGAAATAGTATCTCATCTCGAGTATTTTAGAAGCATTCGCAGTCAAGGTCCTAATTTTGCAACAGCTTTTACTTCTTCCAAAATGTTAGCAAGAAAATTTGGGCCGCTTCCAATCGTTCCAGTAAAAATGGGTCCAACTGACATTTTCATGTTCCACAAAATATCAGATGGATTTCACTTGAGATCGAGTTACAGCCTATCTCCTCCGCAAACTAACATTCTCTGTAGTATTAGAGTTGATTTTATTAATGTCATTGCCAAGATTGTTTCGATTATTCATTGGATTTCCTGTTCGTCTAAATTCTTTTCATAGTTATATGGCATTGTTCCAAACGCGCCAATAATGCTGGGCAAAACTGTCATAGTTATATATTTTAAAAAAGGGGGCACAGGATGTAATGACAGCAATAAAAAGAAATCATTTAAAAGAGCAAAAGAATAAAAATGTTTAACCGACTATAAAGAAATATTATCGAAAAGCAAACAGTTGAATGTACATTTTTCAATGTTCAATAGAGCACTGACAACAGAGGATTTAAACCACTTATGCTTCTTTGTTTATTTTTTCAGTAATTTATGTTTTTTCAATAGTAACTCTTTACGTCAATATAAACGATTTGTTATTCTAGTCTGTTGCCGTTACCATCTCCGTTCCTATTGCAACCATCGTCATTTTTATGTTTCTTCTGTTACATGTATCTTTTTTTTAATGTCAAATTCTTAATGAGGGCACACGGTGAAGATCGAACTTACTACTTAATGGTCAGGCAAATTTAACTAAACTAAGTTTGTTAACTGTTACTCTACGGCGAGTTGCTTCAATATTCAGACACCTCATTTGTTGAAGATTTTATAGATTTTCTTTAGACTGAAACGCTAAAGTCCTCTAAAAAGGTTTCATAATTGTTATATTCCGTGCTAATAGGCATATATATTTGAAAAAATAGGTGGATAAAATAAGTAAATGTTTATTGTAAAAATCAATACTATAAGAATAAAGGTATGGAGAAGGTCGTCTCAAGTCAAATCAGTAGTGAGTGCTACTATTGGAAGGTCGGTAGTCCTTCGTAAGTCTGAGTCGTACTCAACAGATCCCAGCTAGTAATATTTACCAACCTCCCCACAAGGTAGGGTGTGGCACAAGGTCGAATTTAATGTGGGGCAATCTGTCTACCTAACCAGATAAGACTCTGCCCGTCGGCATAGTCTCGTCCAGCTTCCTCTCTGCCCGAAGGCAGCGTTTTCAACAGTAGCTAAGAGCTGAATAACGGATCCCAGACATTGTATCTAGCAATTGCCCCACGCAGTCACATGTGGCATAAGGCTTAATTTAATGTGTAATTCCCGAGCCCGTAGGCTCGGCCAAAAAATCCCCGTAGACCCCGCATAAGCGAGATTGACACTCCTCCCTTCGGCATCGTCTCGTCTGGGTTCCTCTCTGCCCGAAGGCAGAAAGTTGGACAGTACAGCTGAAAAAGATTCCAGCTAGTAAATATTTTCTAGCACCTCCACGAGGGTATATGTGGCACAAGGCCGAGTTTTACCCGGGTCTTCCGAGCCTATAGGCTCGGCCGAAAGATCCCCGTACTACCCGCATAAACGGAATCGGGTTGGTCTACCTCCTCGAATGAGACTCTACCTTTCGGCAGAGCCTCGTCAAACACACACATTCACACACATAGACATATATATATATATATATATATATATATATATATATATATATATATATTTTGAACAATAATAAGAAAATAAAAAAATTAAAAAGTTAAAATCTTTAGACACACTGGGTTGTAGATTAATATTCTTTCGTTTTTTTATTATTATTCCATTTAGATTCCTCGACTAGTTTCGACCGAAATGGCCATCACCGGGAGGAGAAATATTTCTGCTTGCTGGTAGCAGTGAACTACAGAAATGAATGTCTTGATGGAGAAAATTAACTTTTGTTTGTAGTTTTCATTTGTTTTTTTTTTTTTTATCTTTTTAACATGAATCTTTTAACATTCCTTGTGTTGGTCAAACAGTCTCTTTTAAGTTGTTATTTGATTTGCTGGATAGATATTATTCTGAATTCTCTGATCAGTTTGACAGTTTTATTGGACCTGGTGAAGGGATGTGTCTCTGTTTAGTGTTTTTGTGTGTGTTATTTGGTTCTTAGGGAGTGAGTGAGTATGATATGCAAAAAAGCACGTGTATTGCTGTGTAGGTGTGTGTTATCATTTGGCTCATTAGGGAGTGAGTGAGTATGATGTGTGTAAGTGTGTATATTCGTGTGGGGTGTGTGTATAAGTGTGAGGCCTCCATACCTCCGTATTTTTCTTGTGTGGGTGAGAAATGGGTAGGTTTTGATTTGTTGACTATCTATATATTGTTAAATTTATGATTTAGCCCGGCTGGGTATTTTGTTTTTAGACGTTGTATCCACTTATTTTCATAATCTAAAATATTTCTAATGTTATCTGCTCTGAAATTCTCTCAATTATAGTGAATTTCATGGGTTTTGAAATCATGTTTTTCCAGGCATGTTGTTCTACAGGTAATAATTTTTTCATGGGGAGTCGACTTAATTCGCTTGATAATTATTAATTCTGTAGTGAAAGGGCCATTCAGATTTTCCTACATATTGTTTCTGGCATAGTGTGCATTCTAGGAGGTAAATTATGTTATGACTTCCACAGTTAGAATCGTGGTAGATTTTAAAAGTAGATTTAGTGATTGAGCTAGTGAATGAATTCGTGTTTTTAATATGGTTGCAACATAAACTTCTTTTGCTGTTACATGGTTGGGAAAATCCTGTTGTTTTTGTTCTTAGTTCATTACGGATTACCTTGTCTCCTGAAATGTGGTTACTACCTATGATTTCTTTTAGGTTCTTAGGTCTACGATATGCAAGAAGGCAACGCAGGACTCAGCGGCAAATCCCCAATATTGCCCGGGGAACGGCGGCAACACGCCCCATAAGTAGACCGCACCACCCCATGCTAGCGCGAACCGAGCACGCGCACCCCCTCCCCAGGCACCGACATGCGCCCGCGGCAAAACCCCAGCAGCGCCAGAAGAAAGGCGGCAGCATGCCCTCGAAACAGATCGCACCAGCCACCAATGATGCGAACCGAGCATGCGCACACCCCCATGCACCGGCAGGACCCAGCCGCAGAACGCCACCAACGCCAGGGGAAAGGCGGCAACATGCCCTAGGACGCAGCCAGCAGGGCCGGTACGCATCCAACGAACAGAGCATGCGCATACCCCCACACCTCCGTCGGAGAGAACCATCTTGGCCACCGTCCGTCTCGACGGGAGAATTATATAATTTTGTTACAGTGAAGGCCAATAATTTTCAGTCAGAGGGGATGTTAAATATACCCACAAAGACCGGGGACATTTAGGAAGCCCAGGAACCCCGCATTTATGGTCTGCGGACGACTTCCCAGGCTCTTAGCCAGCCGTGAGCAGAAGGCTACTAGCTGTTACCAGCGGGACCCTAGAGGAGAGGCGTTAGAATAAAAGAAGAAAACGAGGACCTAAAAAAATATAGTGAATAGCAAGAGCCAAAAATGTTTTCCCGAAAATAAACAATGCATTACAAGAAAGAAGAATTACTTTACGCGTGCTTCTTATAATATGTAAAATAGATAGGTTAGTTAATAAAACAAATATATATATATATATATATATATATATATAGCAAGAGAGAGAGAGAGAGAGAGAGATCTGTATTTATATAGAAACTAGATAGGTTAGTTAATAAAACAAGGACAAATGAAAGGCTACCAATATAATCCCCACAATAAACACCAGTAACAATAGAACTGACTACCTCTTTTACAAAATTTTAAATTTCAGTTTTTTTTTTTTTTAAATTCCACACATCGTGGATCAGACAGAGATCGTTTTTTTGCTAACAATACGATTTCTACCAGAAAATACGTCATTGAAAAAAACATGTGTCTGTGTGTAATTCGTTTTCTCTCTTTATTTCTTGATCCGTTGTTGAACGACACAGGAGTGTCCGAAAATTCCAAACTTAAAAACATTTCTCTACGTGCTTCATTTCTCTCATAGGATTAATATTTTATATTTAATAAATGTTTGTTGTACTGCATATATTGCTACCCTTTCTTTTTGTCCTTGTTTTATTAACTAACCTATCTATTTTACATATTATAAGAAGCACACGTAAAGTAATTCTTTTTTCTCGTAATGCATTGTTTATTTTCGGGAAGACATTTTTGGCTCTTGCTATTCACTATATTTTTTGTGGGCCTCGTTTTCTTCTTTTATTCCAACGCTACATATATAATTGAATTACTCTACCTGCTTCATGTTGACGTCGTCAATACTTAGCTGAAGCCATAGGCTGTATCCTCTGTTGGCAAGCATACTGTCCACATTCTTGCAGTTAATCCTTTTGTCTTCATTTCCGTTAGTTTTCTCAGATTTTCTTTCTTCTGAGAGTGTTATCACAACCGTGTCATCTGCATATCCTATGCTGGCAAGATTATGTCCCCCGATACGACATGCAGATGGATCTTTTCTTTTTCTTAATAAACGGTGAAATAAATCAGCTATGAAAATACATCCAAGTACTACTCTTCTTCATATTTTTTGCTTATTATGTCTACACGTTCTTATTAAGCGTTACCGCTATGAATCAAGCTGTCCTAGAATTTAAGTTGGTCTTTGTACAGTTTACATGTCAAATAACTCTGTAACTATGGCACATACTTATAGGTCTTTCTGCATTTGCTTTGATCAACGAGGCTGAATCCCCATGAAAAAGATAGCATTTCTTGTTCCCATGTCTTGAACAAAACCCCTGCCGTTGTAATTAAAGTTCTTCTATCACTTAAATTCATTAGAATTCTATTAATAAATTTAATACTGTGATACATTGAACTGATTCTTCTATTCTTATTCCTTTATTCCCTTGCACCTTACTTCGTTGGTTTCGCTATGCTATGGAGATATCTATGGATGTCTTCTGCTATTTCTCCGCTCTTATTTATTAATTCCAGAAACTTATAGGATCTTGAAATATTATAAGTTTGATTGTTCCTCTATTATAACCCCATCTGATTATGTTGCTTCGTTTCTATTCATCTCCGTCTGTGCCGAACTTACCTTATGAAATAATCACTAAGCATTTATAAATTAACGCGAAGTATCTACTCTAGTGGGTTGAATACGGATTTCGAAGAGAACTAAAGGGTGAATGCTACAAAATCCGAAATGTTCCTAGTATTACAATCAAGATACCCATGCTCTTCCTAACAGCAATGCATATAAGTTTCTATAAAATGGACAAAGTCCGACAATTAATTTAAGATATTTTTTTATGTTTATACGTTCTTTATACAGATACAAATATTTAACTAAATGCTCTGTTTGTCCATTTCATAATATGTGACGTCATTTGCTTACATTTGTTTACGCATCGAGTGGATACGAATGTACAAGAGAAAATCTTAGAGAATTGCATTTTAAAAACAGTAAAATCAACTTTGCTAACCGAAACGATCCTCTGTGGCTAAATCGGTTAAAGCACGTCTGGCTATATGACGGTCCCGTATAGGCTACAGGTTCGATTCTTGTCGGAGGAAGCATATTTTCTATGAAAATTTCTCGGAAATTCAGGCCGGTAAATGTTGTTAATACTGTTTATTATAAATGTCTTAAAATAAGTTTCATTTATTAGCATTCTCAATAACAATATTCTCTATTCAGCAAGCTTACTCAGAAGGCGTCTGTCGTTCAGACGAATAGTGTTACTTGATCACCATTGAAGGCCATTAGATATTACTTAAAAAAAAATTACAATCATTAAAAGAAACATAATTCGCAAATCTAATATGAAAGCGTTCGTATAGATTCAACCAAAGTTTTACTAAAACTCTTATTTCTCCAGCTTCAACGATTAAAGCTTGTGATGATAATAGATTTTAAATCACAAATTCATTAACGATTTAAAAATTAATGTCAAAAAGTACAAAGCTGAAAGACAAAACTTTAACATCTAAAATAAAGAAGAGAATAAAATATTGTTGATATGATCGTCTTTATATTTTTTTCAATTTTATAATAAAAAAAAGAAAACAAAAGATGTGCGCCCAGCAAAGATGTTAAGGTCAGCGCTGTTGCAAAAATGATTGGCGCCGTCAGTACGCATGCGCAAAGACGTTTACTGGAGCTGAAACGTTGATTAAAAGTTAAATGTGCAATCAAGTATGGCGGCAATTATTTGTCGATCCGATATCGCCTAAAATATTTTTTTTTTGTCTTTTTATTCATTAATTCGATATTTTTTCAATCTTCTTTTCGAATATCTTTCTTCATCCTTGATTATAATCAGTGCTTTTTTTTCTTTTATATTTTCACCCTCCAAGTTGTTCATTCGATCATTTTTAACTTCATTCTAAAACTTCCGATTTCCTACTTCCTGTCTCCTGCCTCCCTACTTCTCCGACACACTTATTCTTTTAAATTTCTGAGCACTTTTTATCTTATTTTTTTCTTCATTTAGCCCACGTGAAGTGGATCGTGCGGATTCGGGCTGCGCCGGAGCAGATTTTAGAAATATTTCTGATATTTGACAACAGTGTTCGATCACAATCAAATTCTAATTCATCATATCGAACCAATTTAGGTATTTCCTTTCTCATAAAACTTCACTTTTAGCGTCTATTTTTTTATTTCCTTTTCTTTTATTTAAAAGTGGCTTATTTGTGAAAGAAATAAGAGTTATTTTGCTTTTTCGCGGCTTATCAATCCTTTGTGGATTATTCAAAGCAGAAACTGATTTCGGATTGTATAATGTCATTTAAAGTACAGAAACCTGTGTTCCCCTGCGGTCCACCATCTAAATACTGACCAGGCTTCACACAGCTAAACCTCACTAACCGAATGATGGAAATAAGATTACCGTATTTGACGGCATGTAAGGCGCACTTTTACTTTTAGTAAAAATATCTTTTAAAATTCCCCTGCATCTTATATGCAACCGCAGGCTATCCCATTTTCATAAATAGATCTCGTGATTATAAAGGAAACGCATAAGTAAGAGGTAGCGTGACGTTTAAATGATCCCTATTTCTACTCTATCCTCTATTACTATACGGATCTCTATTCTCTATAGTATTCACTATACTATTGCTCTATAGTTCAACGGCGTTACTAGAGTCGTATCTGCGATTACAAAGTGTCTACTACAACGAACATTACGAAAGCGACAACGGTTATTCGTTGATATTAAAAAAGTGGCAACGAGTGTTCGTTGACATCACAAAACTATGATGAAGAGAATCTATTATATTTGTATCTATTATATTATTTTAAAAAATATTATGATACAACACGCTGCATCATACAATGAGTATTTTGTTCTTTCTCTATTAAAACTGCTATTATGCATCCCACGACGTCAGGTACGAACTTTGTTTGCAAGCCAGTTTAGGATCAACCTACCCGATAATGAACCGTTATGTTTCACTTTGTTACAAATAGCAGTTTAGCAATGTGACGCCTAACATAAACGTGTATTCGAAGAAGAGCTTGGACAGGCAATAGCTTCAGGTAGGATATTTTCACCCACTAAGATTCATTGATATTTGACTAACTCTTACAGAGACGAAATATTGGATGTGAGCACAGTTAAGGGTTGGTTAATCTGGTTCATTCGCGGTAACATCGATATGTGTGGCGATCGGTGTTTTGGTCGGAGCTGAACTATCTTAAGCTCTTTAAATGTGCTCAAAAATAAGTCAGTCAGTTATGTGTCATACCTGATACAGGCTTAGGCGATCATGTATCTTTCGATACATCTGACGAGGCAGATTTTTTTTCCGGCAGTAGGTTGCCATTTCGTTTTGTAGTAGAACAGTTGCCGTCCAAGGTTATAGACCTCGATTTGTCCTGCTATTTGCCCATACCTTTTTTTTGGGTGGAGGAGAAGAAGAGAATTCATAACATTCTCAAGGGTATTAGCACGTAAATCAATGTAATGGATTCGAGTGGAATTCGAACTCTCCGATTCCTCAATCCGAGCTCCAGATATTTGTTGTAATGACTTTGTAAAAAAAAATAATGGAAGTATTAATTAGGCTCCCCTTTCATTTAATTGGACATAATTTGAAAATTGAACTAGAATTATTTTTGTTTTGAAATGAGAACACTTATTCCATTCTTCATAACACTTTCTTTGCCTCTTCCTATACACACGCACGCACAAACACACAAACATTTAGTGTTACACTTATTTCTAGTGTTTTTCGCGATTTCTTCAATCTTTGGTCGAATGTGTGATAACCAAATCACCATTTATTTTTCAGTTGAGTGTATTCCTTTAGTATAGTATAGTATAGTATAGCTAGCCACACGTATTCGAGGATACACGACTACTACGGCGGCATGCCAATCCCTATTGCAGATGCTTGCTAAGGTGCATTTGGGTTTATTCAAAAACCCACAGAGCCCAACTGTGGGTTATACTGCAACTATGCTGAGTAAACATAGGTTTCTGTTTCTAGGAAAGAGCGTGTTATCTAGCGTGATCAACAATTTGGACAAGGCCAGCACGCTCAAGCCCTCGGCCACGATGACTTGTGACTTGTGACTATCGACGGTCCCCATGTATATGGTATTGTTTCCAGGTACTTTCCAAACGCTGGGAGCGACCCCTACAGTTCCTTCCAGACAAATCGAACGCCGATCTCATGGTCAGAATACGAACTTTCTAACGACTCAGTCACGTGCCCATTCCTTTATTATTGAATTCCAATATGTATAAATGTTTACCATCGAATGTTTTATTTTGAACCCTCGCTTTCTAGAAGTCTAGCAATTCTTGTGTACCGCATGTTTGATGTTTGAGAATATATATATATGTGAGTGTATGTATATATGTTTTATATATATATATATATATATATATATATATATATATATATATATATATGCGTGTGAATATGTGTTCGCATATATATATATATATATATGTGTGTGTGTCTGTGCCTATACACACACACACATATATATATATATATATATATATATATATATCCCCTTTTCATATAAGTGGACTCGACCAAAGTGTTACTTGGACTGCTGCCGTTAAATACTCAAAGTCAGTCAAAATATATAGAGAGTGAGAATGAGATTGTGATTGAGTTGGAGGTAGAGTAATAGTGTGAGGTATCCGATTGTAGAAGTCAGTTACAAGCACGTAGACTCTAATGAAGTCCTACTTCGAGACTATTGTATGATTTTGTAAATACATTTAATTTGTTATATTTAGTTCCTGCGTTTATTATTCATTGGAGACCAAATTTCATCACGGAATCCACAACAATATCTCTCTCTCTCTCTCTCTCTCTCTATATATATATATATATATATATATATATATATATATCTTCGTGTATATTTTGTATAAAAATTATTTTACAAACTTTGGTGGTGTTTCCTTGCACCATTACAAAGGCAAAATTACATATTGTTATATGTCCGCAAAATCTTCGTTTTTACTTCTCACTTTTTAATAAATTACGGTAGATGGCGCTGTCTTACCATGTAGAGTAGGTTACGTTTGTCATTCATGTAAATTTGTCCCTAGTCGGTCTTCCACTTTTAATTTCTGTAGTAGTAAGTTAACTTAGAAATGTTCCGTTTGAAAATGGCAGGATCTTCATATCGTGAGATTATATGATTTTTATATACGGATGCGCGAATGGCATTAGACGCGCGGCTGTATGTCCGTATTAGATTGCGTTTCCAGACCGAAGGTAGGTGAATAATTTAACCTTTGCTGCTGCTTATCGTTGCATAGCTGAGACAGTATTGTTCGCATATAAATCGAGGTTGACCGATTGTACATTTAACAATATCTACCGTAAACTTTAAAATTAATAACTGAAAAACGTTTGTTTTTGTATGAGGGAATTTTGATACATTTTTGATACACCCTATCTATCTATCTATCTATCTATCTATCTATCTATCTATCTATCTATCTAGCTCATCACTTATCTCTTTACTTCCCTCTTTTTTTTCTTTATCTTTTTTACCCCTTTACCTTTTCCCGTATCATTTCCGTCGACCGATTAAATAGGTCAATGTCTGATGCTTACCTCCTTGAAATATAAAAATAAATTTTAAAACTCTCCCTTTCCTCTCTAGACTAGACCATATCTCTCATACCATCCCTCATCGCCGTCTCTGTCAACTTATATAAGCTTAATACTGTCCGTCAAAAGTGTAAATTTTAATTTCATTTTTCGTTTCACCTTTTGAAAGTGAAGTCTGAAGATCCAGAGAAAAATAAAATTCTCTGGTGAAATAAATTATTACAATGGAGCCTTAAAGTGGTCTGTTTTTCTTTAAATGAAATTATTAGCTCTGAATTAACATTGAGCTCTCAGGATTTCATATGGATTACCAAGATTTTCGTTAGTTAACTATCTCTCTCTCTCTCTCTCTCTCTCTCTGTATATATATATATATATATATATATATATATATATATATATATATATATATGTGTGTGTGTGATAGAAAGCGGGATTTGGATGAGAATTCTACAAAATATCAAATAATTTAGAACTTGAATTCGTGGATATATATCAAATAATTAAGAATGGTTTTGGCATGTGTTACTCATGACCCCCACTTCATGAAAATAAAGAACAAAATCAACATTAGTGAGTTTAAACACAATTCACCTGAAGCGTCGGAACATTTGATTTTTATTTTAACTGTATCGTTATTAAAATTACATTTTAACACAACTCCCACGATATTTTTGCACTCATGCATAAATCGTTATACATTTAAGTAAATTAAATGTAAGGAACTCATCAGATCATGGCATTTCAATGCTTCATCGTCCGAATGAATTACTTTCACATTTAATTAAAACCATTTTTTTCCGATTTAATATTGTGATCACGAATGTTTCGGCTGCACACATATGCTTAAAATAACCAGTCAAACTAGTTCTCTCATTCAAACTCGCACAATCTCCCTATCTTTCTCTTTCCCGATCTTTCTCTCTCTATCTATTCTATCTCTATCTCACTCTCTCTCCTTCTTTCTCTAGCTGATCGCTTCTTTTCTATCACATATATATATATATATATATATATATATATATATATATATATATGGAGAAATATAGTCTGAAGGTGTGCTATATTTATGGGATAAAGTGCTCAATATCAGAGATAAAGCGTGTCTAAATATAAAAGTGAACATTCAAGTCAACACTTAGAGGCTACAGTCTGTTTCATAATAGACGCAATCGTCAGGCCACGAAAAACAGCACTCGTGGCTTAATGATTGTGACTAGCATGAAGCAGACTGTCACTTCTAAGTGTTGACGTCAATGTTCACTTATATATATATGTGTGTGTGTGTGTGTTAGAGAGAGAAAAAGAGCTGCAGGATATACATAATAGATCACAGTTCTGTTTTTTTAAACTATAAACAAATGAATACTGAGCTGAGAAGCACTCTTTAGTATTCTGACTTCAGTGTTCATTTATTCGTCGTTGACAAAAAGAAAGATGGCGGGGAACATGACATACGTTCTACAAGGTCTGATACACTTTTTGATGTTGAATAGCAGCCGAAACGAAGATGATTGATGAAACCTTTGTAGATGGCTCGCTTATAGGAAGTACTACATGTCCTCAACGGCTTGTAAAATTGAAGGTGACTTTGATTTGAAGGGCAACCGACGTAGCAATGAGCGACAGCAACTTTGAACTGAGGTCCTTCAGGTCTTTTGAATGTGACCATATTTAATCGACATTGCTATTGTCTGAATTTATTTGGTGGCAATCTCTCTGAACGGTTGTAATATATTTGCAAAATATGTGTTTCCCAAGCATTCCAAGAGCGTTGGATAATGTCCCAGTAGCTGCATTTAACATCAATGAAAAAAATATTTTTGAAGAGGTTCAATGACTATGAAAAGTTTGATCACGATGATAAATGTAATTGTCCAAAATGATGCGGGGATTGAGGACACCTATATCAGCAACATGAAAGCCTAACTTTTTAATAAAAATATTACTCTCTATGTAATGAGGCATGGAAGACGAAACATACTTGAAATTGTCTAAACATGATAAAACTGATACAGTTGACAATTTCGAAATTTCTTTGTTTCATCTCAAGAAAAATGTAATCCATACTCATGAAAGTACGAAGGTTTATTCTAACATGACTGCATTCATATTCACCTTAACCTATAGTCTTCAAAGTCAACATTTTGGATGCGCAATTTCAATTTACCTTATATACTCGCGTTTAGGTCACCTCAAAGGTTGGATCACCCCCACCCACATTTATGGCTTAATAATTGATGATTTCCTGTTGACTCGAAGATAAGTCGAAGTATAATCTGAGGATTTACACAACCGTTTTAAACGTAAGAATTCTCAGATATCTACTTTTAGCCAGTGGCTACTTCATATGATTCCATCCTAAATTGACATTCGAACAACCTTTGATGCAAAGATTGTTTGAGAAGGATTATTGAAAAGTTAAAAGGGTAAATTTCCTGAAGGACATTTATTAAACCCAGTTTTACAGTAAAGCGAAGAAGGAGGAGGAGCTATTCATGCGTTTGCAGTTGAATCAAGCATTGACGCTTCATTCTTGGCATTTATACCTACTTTTATTTCTAACTATTTTTCAAAATTTTCAATTATTAATAATGCACTTTAAATACAAAATAGTTTTGGGTACTAGATTCATAAGCTTTGTTATTTGTAAATAAAACTCCTTTTAATATTATACAAAACAACCATGAAATAGAATTATTTCATAAAGAATATATTTCATTCCTTTAAGTCATATTTTCCAACGTACATTTGATATCTATCTATCTATCTATTTATCTATATCTATCTCTCTATCTCTCTCTCTCTCTCTCTCTCTCTCTCTATATATATATATATATATATATATATATATATATATATATATATATATATATATATATATATATATTGCATAATTAATCGTGGGACTATCTTTTCTTAGTCAATACACATTTAAACGCGGTTACTTAACTTATGTATGCATAGTCAGGATTTCTGTATCAGTCTAGTGCGAAAGCCCCAACCGAACGCTGACTGATGGATCAATGAATATTTTATAATTTCATTTATCTATTGTGATGGATATGTGAATCTCGCAGCATGAGATAAGTTTAAAGCAGTGAGTCAGTATATATGACAGATAAAGTGTTTCTATACGGGGTAAAAGCACAGCTTTAATGTTTATGGGTTTCATTTCCGATTTTTCAAGGTAGTGTTGTTTTACATTTATTTAGAGCGGATAGGTTGCACCCCTAATATTTTTTGAATGTGAGTATATACGGTACACAGAAAATACATCAAAAGTGATGATATGAGAATGTTATAATTTTTTAACAAGGCAATATTACTAATCTGAGTAATATTTGACTACGTTCAGCTGATGTCAAAATAGACTTTGCACACAATGTCCACTGGAGATTTGGGATGCACCCACGAGCTGGTCTGATACGCCAGATACAGATCCCCTCCTTCACTACATATCAAAGGATGTCCCAGATAGTCGATTCAGCTGCCCCTAGCATGTGCACATGTGAGATAAACTGGATGAGATATAGATATATAAGCAACCACTCTAAAAGGGAAAACAGTCTCTGAAAGCTCTCTTACATCATCGTGGGAATGTAGTATCCAGGCCCTGACAATTAAATCCATCCACCGACACACCGATATTAGTTGTCACAAGCTGAAGAAAAAATGTCATGTTATATATGAGCGATTCAATTTTGTATTTTTGTTACATTGTACAACGATAGCGTTACCATCTTTTTTTTTTTTTAAAAGTTGTGTTCGATATTCAGATTTTCATTGACAAATGCTACTGTATATAAGACATATTCTCCTGGATTTCGATTATAAACGCCTATCATTTTATAAAATTTTCGCCTGTCCAAGTCTTGATTAAAATTAGTAATTCATCATTTCATCATTAAAACGTCGTAACATTTTTTTCCATATCTGCACTGATTTCTTATAAGAAAATAAACCCCATCTTATTTTTTTTTTATTTCACCCGTCATTTATTTGCGAACTAAATTTTCTCGTGAAGTCTTTATTTTCGTGATTCCGGAAAATGTCTTCTACTATCCCTTCTCTCAACTACGTCATTCTTTCACCATTTTTCTTTAAATGGAAACTGATTCTCTTTTTATTCACTGCTTTGGGCTAGCGTCGAAAATATTTCGTTATTTTTCTTGTTTGATATTTCAATTTTAATTGACATTCTTGTCTTTACGATATTTGACATGAAACGGCGACCATATTTTTATATTATTTTCTCTTTACAACTTCCTGCAATATTTATTTTGTTTCCTTAATACGAGTTCACTTTCCCACTTTTTTCAGCTATCAGAAATAGGAGATCCGCTTGTCCTTTCAGCGTATTTTTTAATATAATTCTTGATTACATGTCTTGAGTAGTATTCGCTTCATTTTGTAATTGCTTTCTGACACTGAGTCTGTCTGTGAAATCATTTTCTCAACCAATTCACATTATTCTCAACAATTTCAAGCTGAATATTTTCACGTTTTAGTGATTTTTTCTTTCATTTTTATAAATTGCGTTTTTTTTCTTTCTTTTTTTCTTCGTATTAAAAGAAAACAAGCTAATGGGCACGGGTGTGTGTATTCATGTGTTCATACTGTTATTAGTCCCTATTCATTCTTCATATTAAAGTATCAGTCTAGGAACTAATTCGGCTTTTGACAACATATTCTCCACAAATCAAACTTAGAAAAAGAATTTCATCATATATCTAGCTGATGTTTTCTGTTGGGAATTACTTTTTATATATATATATATATAATCTGCCATTTTGTTTTTTTTTTACGTAATTTTTTTTTTCTTTTTAATCCCGTCATGTTTTTCATTACATCCTTTTATATTTCCATCGACATTTTTCTCTTCCCATCCAATTTGATCTCATATATATTCCTTCTTTATATTAAATTGGTTTAAATGTAGAATATGTTCAGATATTCCCTTTATATAACACTTACAAAATATGATATATATATATATATATATACTTGTAGAGTGGATAAATGAAACGGCCAAATATATGCAGGTGTGTGGCGGTGTGCATACGCAAGCAAGCAAATAAATACTCGTTAAATTTATGCATGACGTGTAAACGAAATAGTGCTCAATGTCGTTATACAGAGCAAATATATATATATATATATATATATATATATACGCGTACCTACGTTTTTCGTGTGCGAAAAAAACGTACGCCGTAACTGTAGGTAGGCGTATATCTACTGATTAATACATACACACAAAAACACACAGACACACACAAAGACATATATATGTTTTTCTGTGTGTGGGAGAGAGAGAGAGAGAGTGAGCGTGGAAATAAAACTGTACGATGAACAAGAAAACAGCTAAAATTTATGCCTAATAATAATAAATATACATGTTGTTCCTCAATATTTTTTTTACAAATTTGGATTTAATGCGCGTCACAATTATCAGGTGCTGTTTGAAAACTTTCAATCTAGGCCAACGATTGTCACATGAAGGAATGAACAAACACATAGGGGGAAATATGTAATGGCTGTCTATTAAACGTTACTGAGCGCCGACATCTGCCTGCACGTCCAGCCATTTCCTATTACAGGCACCTGCTCAGATGGCAGACCAGCTGAGGTATATAGTGGAACTATGCCGAATGTATTTTACTTACAGGGTCTAATGATCAGAAAGCAAGCGTCCTAATCGCGAAGCGCTACATTGTTTTGTCCAATATTATGGATAATGATGCATTTTATTCAAATTTTATGTCCATTAAGTTTTCGTTTTTTGTGCATTGAATTTAAGGAGAAATTGTCAGTAGTTTATTCTTGTAAGCTGTCTCGGTTAATATTATACACATTTTCAGTCGGGGCGAGGTGTCAATTTTTGTAGAAATGTTTTATATATATATATATATATATATATATATATATATATATGTAAATATATGGATATAGATCCGACAGTATGAAG